AATAGAACAAAGTAGGGATGTGTTTTGGAAACCCCATGTTCCACTTTGAACCCAAGGGAATAATAATAAAATAATAATAATAATTGATAAGAAAGATCTAAAGGAAATATAAAAAATACACAAACCATTCTTTATCCATTTGGACCGACCGAGCAGTCAACATAAGTGTTATTTACTAGAATAGGACCATCTATTTTCGAGACAAGCCACTAAATTCAGATTCCCGTGCCTCCTGAATCTTAATTTATGCAGATTTGTAAGTGCTACCAGTGCTCAGTGAAAGAAACTACTTTATAAGCTATCCTGGTTACATTTCTCTTTGCGATTTTCGCTAGGTCTCTCTGAAAACTTGTCGCAGTGAACTGATACCAAATTATTGGGTCATGAAAATTCAGTTTACTTTAATCTGTGGATTTTTTACTGAACAGTCATAATATTCAACCTGAAGGAAAACTACCTTGCAGTTAGGAAGCACTACGTGTGAACGATAAAAAAGGTAGTTAAATTCTTTGTTTTATGGAGAAAAGACACAAAAAGTGCGTGTTTGCATTGTAACCGTCTGTCCCTCCATATGTAGCACTAAATTCAGAATTGCTTCATTCTACTATACTTTAGGTCTGCGCAACTTTAACGTAAGAAGCATCAGATAAATAAATGTATACAAAAGTGGAATAAATGTCACTTTTGATCGCATTTGTTAGTTTATGTACAAGTTATATTTTTATGAAATATATCAAACAAAATCCCAAGACTAGTTCGTCTCAATAGTTTTGAACAGCTTGATAGAGTTCATTATTTCAAAATGGAGCTCAAATCAGTGAAAAAAGATTCATTCAGAATAGTCAGTTCATAATTCATTGGATCGGGTCGCAGTGGCTTAATGGTATACGAGCTCGCCTTGTAACCAGAAGGTCCTGGGTTCGAACCCCTGCGGTGGGTGTGTACTGATGAAGTGTCCCAAACTAGGACGAAACGGATGTTCAGTACCCCCAGGTTTTACAATGGTTTTCTAACCAATTTCAGCTCATGATGAAATCCTGTAATCAATCAAATCCCTACAAAACAACACTTTAACTCTCTTTTAATTCAATTCTTATGGTCGACCATGGTAAAAGTGCTAGGAGATGGATAATACACTCTGGAGATATCAGTTACTGACTTAGACTATTTTGTCAAGCCTTCAGTAATAACTGTTGCTATTACTTCATTTATTAACTTTACTTTATTTCGTCAAGTACAAGTCGTGTAGAGCAGCGGAATCCAGGATGGTAATTTGGTCATATTCAGGACAATTCAGGCGATTCTGCCCTTGAATTCATCTCAGATTCTACAGGTAAACAACTTCAATCGATTAAAACCTAGTTGAAATCAAAAGCATCATCAGAGCGTTCGTCCTAAGGAATGATCCCTTTACATAGTAAAAAGGTATTGACAGGAATTTCACAATGACCATAAATATTCCGACTCTTCTCCGTTTGTTACAGTTACGCTATTTGTTTCATCCTTTGTATTTCATAATTTACAGCACTTTTAGTTGGAGAATTTCATCATGAGCTGACATCAGTTACAGAAACACTGAGAAACCTGAGAGTACTGGGCAGCTATTTCGTCCTAGCTATATGGGACTTTTCGGTAGTATGCACCCGCCAGAAGAGGTCGGACCCAGGTTACAAGGATAGCGAGGACATAGACCGTTAGGCCAGTGAGACCGAATCCAATGTCCCATGAATTCTACTTTCCACCGATTCACGAAATAGCGTGATCGATTCGCAATGTCTTCTTCTATGAGTAACTGTCCTCACATTCAACCTGCTATATCCTACTGGTCACGGCTTCCCACTACAAGCCCAGGTCACTGCTTGGATAGGGTCAGAGGCTAGTGAGCATCAGGTAAATTTTCAAGTATTGATTTTGCAGGGGATTTTGTTTGATTGGTTGGAAGATTTCATCATGAGCTGACACCGGTTAGAGGTCCCCTTGTAGCCAGAAGGTCCTGAGGTTGAACTTTAGTGGGTGTGGACTAGTGAGGCGTTCGAAACTAGGGCGAAACAGCTGTGCGCTACTCCCTGCAGGTTTTCCAATAGTTTTCTAGCTGATGTCAGCTCACACTGAAATCCTTCAACCAATCAAACAAAACTCTACAAAAAAATACTTTATAACACATATACAATGATATGAATCTAGTAAGCAGTGCTAATCAATTAGTAGTCGGAGAAAATGTGGAGAAATGTTGCTTTATTGAATTATGCATCTAGCAATCAGACCTAGGTGATGTGGATGGAAGAAAATCGCTTTTCCCTTTTTGCGACTGATTCGGTTTGCTTATCTAAGTCATTTGTAGTCGTTCACTGTTGTGATCAGGCTCAAAACATGCGAAATAAGAGTCCAGTGTTTACTTAATCTGGTTAAAAGAGATGAACAGTACTGGTTAACTTATGTGGTCTTAAATAACCAACGCTATTCATTAGAATTTATCTTGTTGCAATTTTTGCCACCTTTTAGATGCATTTATGATGTTAAGTAAGTTATATAATGTGAACTACAAAATTTTCGGATTTCTGAGGAAGACAGTAACACGATTTGATCTCAGAATGGCTACCTTGCCAATAAGTAATTACGACAAAACAATAAGAATTCATAAAGGGAACCAATTGCTTTAAATAAGTAATTAAATCCTATTTCTTCTTACTTTGCTGAAAATCTGAATGAGAACAAAACAGATGAAGCTGTAAGACTGATGGATTAATACTTACATCAATCAAGTGTAAATTTTTTAATTATTTCATTCGAAATGAAAAGAACGCTAATAATGCAAATCATTCATCAACAATGGACAACATCACAGTCATTTAACATGTAATCAATTTGACTTTGCAGCGAGTAGGGTTCTCGATTTATTTAATCAAGTATAAAGTAGACTGAAAGGAAAATAGATTAGTCATTTTAGTTGAAACTTTAAGATTTTCAAGTTATCTTAGTAGTGTCAAGAACTTGAGATTTTATATCTTTGGATATCTGAAGATATTGAATAAAGAGAATTTGAAATAAAAACCCAGAAACACTTTAATTTTACTTCATTTTTATTTTCTGCTGCATTATGATGGACAACAACACTTTAATATCAGTGGATTTATTGATCTCACATGTGATACCCAACGGAAGTTTCTTGTTTAGCACTGAATGTGGCGAAATAATTGACCTGAAAATTCCTTTATGAACCATCCATTAATGACACTGATACTTATCTGAATATTCCAACTAACTTTGTCACTATAAGCCCTTTTCATCCTTGGGCTATATATCATTCTTCTGAAATTTGCATATTTTCTTGCTCACTTAGTTCTTTCTTGTCTTTGTCCCGGTTGTGGTTGTGTAGTTTTATTGACAGTGTGTCGTTTTAAGATTCTGATTTTGTTTGACTGAAGTCCAGGTTACTCCGTGCAGTGCTGGCTTGGTCCTGTACTTTCGCCAAGAAACGTATTTCGTTCTCTTTGATTCTTGAAGGCAGAGTTTTCGTCCTACTTTGCTGAGAATATTCTTATTGACTTCCAGGTAGTTCACTGTGTTTGGTCAACTAATTTTATCCTACAGTGTATATTTTGTACCTGTATAGTTGCGGGAGAGCCCTGCTGAGGTAGTTTTATATTTCTGACATAAATTACTATTACGAAATAGTAAGACAGATTCTGTCATTCAGATTATCTTTTTTACATTATTAGAACTGTACCCAACCCGTGGAAGTTCAGCAGGCTCTACAGAAGAATACATCAATTGGTCCCTGTATTCACATCTAAATACTTCAGTCTTGGTGGTTAAACTTGGGGCAAGTTGGCTATGTCACCTGTCTTGCATAAGCCATTCGGAGCTCGTGAAAGAGTCAGAGGACAAGATGAATGCATGACGGCATGAGCAATGAAATTCACTAGACAAATAAGGCATATAACTTGTATAATGTTGTATATTGCAGGGCATAGATGGTTGTGCAATGAAATTATAGCAGAACTACATGGAATCTATTATCCAGTATAGTTCTATTAGGTCAACTGGCCATCTGACTGCAAATTCTTGCGAAATCCTCAAATCTTTTCTCTGTTTCTGTCCATTGAGATCCTTTTTCTCTCTTTCATTTCTTTTCTAAATGACACAGTCTACGGCTTTAGTCTTTAAGAAAGTGGAGATAAAGTTTGCATTTGAATCAGCCAATTATTACAATATTTTCACATCGCCATAAAGAGTTCAGAACGGTTTGATAGGCATTAAGTAATAAACTGTCAGCTATTTCCATCTTAAATAACTCAGGCTGTCACCATAGCAAATTATGTCGCTATTTTTCTTTCCATGATTCAACATTTCTTCAGCTTGCTCTACTGCATTGAGATGAATGCTAATATCAGGGAGAGGAAAAACTTCTTAATTTTGAGAGACTTGATAATACTCTTTTTCTTATGTCTTCGGTGTGTCCCCTCAAAAAGCCATGGCAATTTAAATGAAATTATAAGTATTTTGGACATATTTGCGTGTTTCTCAAACATTTTACTAACCTGGAGTTTTAGTTTGTAAACACTAAATTAACATAATCTTGAGTTAGGAAGTTTCATTCTTGATGGACCTCACAAGAATCACTATCAAACAGACGTTAATGTATCCAATGACTACTTCAGAATTTAGGTTTCGAATTGTGTTATTCTCAAAACTCCCACGGTGCAAAAAATCTCTCCTTTATGTAATGTGATACCTCTTTCTGTGGTTTCTAACTAATCGGGAAAAACACTGTGAATATGTGATAATTTGAAGTGAAGAAAAGACTCAATAAACATTTTCATCTAGCTTTGGTGACACATCACAAATGCCGACTTCTTAATCATAAATTACTTATTTATCTATTTACCGCTATCTGCCTCGAAATAGCCACTTCGTTGAATTTTGATTGGCCGGTCTTGTTTTAGCATTCCTATTGGTCCATTTTTTGTTGTAAATATTTAGTTCTCTTCCTATTTATATAAATAAATTTAGTCTAGTTGTAAAATTATATAGGCAAAGATTATTTTAATACAACTTTTCGATGAAAACTATTTTAATACATCTAAGTGCACAGTTGTAAATTAATTCACTGACTTTAATATATGTTGGATATCTAAAAGGTGAAGAAAAGGAAGTGTCACTGTGGTCGAATGAGTTTATCACAAATTTTATACAACTATGATAGCTACTATTACACTATTAACAAATAGACTACACTTCATTTAAAAGAAATCATGTACAGTTCAATATTTTATTGTTATACAACGTTATTATTATTAGTAATTTTAATGTCTGGGAATTTCAATTTACAAGTTGCTGGTGAGTTATGCAAAACGCTTTAAATTTGATTTAAAAAAATTTATTTTACGTAAAGACTTACTTCGTTTTATTGTTTTCCTTGAATTCAACATTGGTTTTATTAATAAGCATTAATATTAGTGATAAATTTCAGTCTGTTCATATCATCAGTAAGTGAATGACGCAACTGTGTTGAAATTAAAGTTTATACGAGGTTACGCATAAAAGTTTCAATGACAGCTGTATGATAATTCCTACGGATTGCTTAGGTTTGGGTCCAAAGGATAGTAGGTTGTCAGAAAGAGCTTTTCAGGTCATTCCACCCTCTTTAATATCCGTAACACATTAGAGTTTGAAGTTTTCTGTTAGAATGTTAAGAGTTGGAGAATGCCTTTGTCTAACTATATATATATATATATATATATATATATATATATATCGGGAATTTTTTTGACAGGTAGACTGTAATGAAGAAATGATAATTCTTTCCGGGAACACGGATATCCATTTTCCGATTATTTCGTCCTCCAGCAAGTAGTCTGTCTGATTTATTGTTCTGTAAACGAAATCCCCTGTGTGGCTTTATACTAATTAGGCATAGAAAACTGGTAGGAGGGCATCCTTACGGTGAAATGTAAGGCGGAAAGTTTAATTGGTTAAGTTCCAGAGTTAAAGTACTTTCCATTGAGATGTGTATGTGAATTCTACTCAGGAAATATCCTGAAGGTATGTAGTTGTACTTTGCACAGTTAGAAAATCACATCCTGAAGGGTATATGAATAATCACATTCCAGTAAAATATTTAATTGATGAAATTTATGAAATTGGATTTTTGAGAGTCTTCACTTTTTATTCATTTTATATGCGTTTTTACACTTTCTTGTTGTTGCAAACTATTATGTCGCTTTATAAAGAAACGTTAGTCAAGCATCGTGCAATAAAGGAAATTATGTCAGTGTGTGGTAACCAAACAGACAAAGATTCGTGAAATTATTAAATAAGGCTTTCACACAGTGAAGAATGCACTCTAAATATATCACCGTCAAACCGTCGGTCGTATAGCGGTTGAGACACTCGCCGACCTTGCACATAGTCTGGGGTTCGATTACCGACCACCGATGCTTTCCTCTACCTCTCTAAGCCAGAAATAATACTGGTAAAGAGGAAAGGTTCGGCAGGAGACTGGCAACCCCATCCTGTAAAGTAAAAACTGCTATAGAAACTTCAAGCCACTAGCCTGAAGCTCTGTGTTCCGCTGGGGAACGTGAAGGAAAAAAAGCGTAACAGATCTCTTACCATAAAATTGTTCGGCTCAATTAATCTTATCTTACTTAGTAAAAAGAATAATGAATAAATCTCATTCCCTTTCAAGTGTCAACTTTGCGACTACATTTCAAACTTAATAGAAACTAGTTGGCTTCATTAAGAAATAGACATTTGACATAAGTTACACCTTCATTGGGGAATCAATCAATCATTAACCCGAGTAGCCTTGTGGTAATGTGTCTCTTTACAGCACTGCTTGACATAGGTTTGAATTGCCAAGAGGACAGATTAAGACTGATGGTGAGTGTCAATAAGCATATAGCTCATGTCATGGCCTTCGTCTCAGATACTTCCAACTATCTAATAAAATAAAAATATTTATTGAAGCTTTACTTCGTAAACAAAATTGTTTAACTCAGAAATAACCATAACAAAAACTGTAACTTTTATCAGTCAAGTCTCCGGGGTGAAATTTGTTAAGAGTATAAAAATTTATTTAAACTAAGAGACAGAAATAGGGTTAGTTTTAAATAAAACAGGTTTATAACCTTAGGCTATGTTAGTATTTAGTATCCAAGGCATATACTATTTATTTTTAAATTGGTACTATGTGTTATCTGTCGACTAAAGATATGTTTCTGCATATAAATGTGTTTGTTAAAATGATAAAAATAAGCATAAAGTTTTAGTCAGTTTCCAGGAGAGTATGAGCTAAGACCACCTAATATTTCATGTTTGTCTATCATACTTGTTAGGCTTTAACAGCCCATTATTTTATTCGTGTATAGATAGATTGATGACCTATCTATCATTTATGAAACACCCAAGTTTATACAAATAAATTGCATATATATATATATATATTATTTGTTGAATAAGTGGTCTAGTGAAAGTACACTTCATAGGCGATGTTCAATATAACTTTAGTTACTGAAATTCTTATTTGATAAATCGAGATTATTATTTGATAATTGGTGATGTAACGAAAGCCTGTTTTTCGTCGGGCTGTGAACACAAAGTACTCTAGTTGCCCATCTGCTACTCTAACCTTTTTCCATTCAAATCAGAATTAAGGTACCCATAACACTAGGTACGGTGCAAGACTCTAATAGACAGGTGATAGAAAATATTACAAAGTACATTGTAGGAACCTACAATTATGAATTACCTGGCTAATTATATCATCTGGAAAGTAAATTTATTTTTTCAAAAGATTGTAATTTTAGTTGTTTATTCTGTGAGAGAAAATATGCAGCCAAACTTACAATCCATTCACTGAGGTTACAGTGAAACATACAAATTTTTTAGGTAAAAATAATCTTCAATGTGTTCTAGTATTTTGTACATATAAACTAATAAATAAACAATAAGAAGTGAATTGCCGATTAGTATTCCATTAAAAATCTAACTTTATTTCATTGCAGTGGTTATGAGGTTAACTACATGGGTCAGATAAGTAGGCTGGGGTCAGTTGGGTTATCAGAACATAGCATTTAAGCTAGGTGTAGAATGACTGACCCTAAGAAGATTGGTAATTTGCTAAAAATCTCAGCAATTAAGAACACAATTATACAATAAGGTGTGAAACAGCTAAAGTTTTGAGAAGTAATGTTGTAGTGAGGTAAAAGAGGAGATTGATCACTGAATCTCTCTGTTCACCGAACCTACGCCTAACATGAGCAGCACCAGGATATGGAGGAAAATTCTTCCAATAAAATCAGAGGATAATAAATATTGGAATTATACAAACAAAGTTTCAAAGCTACATGACTACCTTGATGTGATTATGAACAATAAATTGTGCTTGAAATGTTATAAGTAAGTAATGTTATATCACTGCGTGTTCTTATCAAAAAAAAATTATTCTACGATGGAATGACAGCCTATCACATAGCCTCAACTCCTCACTTTCTCTCTGTCTCTCTAAATATTACTATTATATCCTTTAGTTCCTAGAGGAACATAGGGCTTCCACTGCGCACCTCCATTGCCTTCTGTTTTCTGACAACTTTTTCACCCCGCTCCAAATCTGCCCACATGCTTTCATCTCCTCTTTACATAACCTCCTCCAAGTCACCCTTGCACTAACGACCAACTCGCCGCTTCCCTTTCTGGTTCCATTCAAGCGACGGCTTGTCTAGTGATGTCACTTGATGGTTTCCTCAGAGTATGACCAATCCATCTCCATTTCTTCCTGCCTATTTGTTTCACAATCGGTTCCTGATTGGTTCGCTCCCAGAGATCCCTGTTGCTGATCTTTTCTGGCTGGCTGTCTGATCTTGAGTATAGAGCGAAGACAGCTGTTGATGAAGGTCTGTAGTTTGTTTGAGATGCTCTTTATGACGCGCTGGCCAAGTCTCTGATCCGTTTAGTGAGTATCACTGACTTTACATTGGAGTTGAAAATCCGGATCTTATTTTGATGATGAGTGCTGTTGACCTCCACACAGACTTGAGAGTAATGAAAGCTTGTCTTGCTTTTCCGATTCTGGCTTTGATATCCTCGTCTCTCTCTCTCTCTCTCTCTCTATATATATATATATATATATATATATATAATGTATGCTCATATATATTTGTGATTGTTAATAAGATTGAGTTTACTGCACCTAAAAAGAGATATTCGCATAATCCCTAAGACTTCTTGTGAATTTCAGTTTGTCTTGATCAGTATTTTACAAATAATATATACTCCATAAACAATATTGATGGAAAAATCAACATTTTGATGTTTTACATTTATACTTCCGATCTGTTTGTCTGGTTTAGCATATTATGATGTTAGTAATATTACTAAGAGGATCATAAATGTATTACAGAGGATCTATGTTTTAACTTTTATCACGCTATTTCTAGGAATATCTCAGTTTTAAAGGAACACAGTTTGAGGATGGTTGTGACGTTATTTTCTTGCCAGGATGCCTGCCAGTCATATGGGAGGTCAGTATCCTATTTCCCGCCAATGTATTCCTAAACTCCAACTAATTTACAACTAGGTATTGAGCCTGGAAAGGAAGCAAGGTTAACCACGGAGCATGGAATCCTACACTGTAAAAGAAAACACCTTTGCTACTGAAACCTCAAGAACTTGTAACCCCATATTCCACTCAAAATACAAGAAATAAAAAGTAGTGTTGAGATAGCTGGATTGAATACTGAATTATTTTGGGTATATGTTCTAGTTATGTAATCACTTAGGTTGTCATGCCCTTCTGACATCTCAGTTCATACCTATGGTTACCATATCAGTCTGATCTACTTGAATTGTCCCCTAGACAGTAGGCAGTGTTATTTATCTAGTTTTATAGGGTGCTGATTAAATTCTCCCAGCATATTTGCAATCCTGAAGACCTAACATCACTTTGCATTTTTGGAATGGTCAAATGCATTCAACAGGCACCCTATAGTACCCTTCTTATTCAATAATAGGCAAAGTGATTGTGTAAATGGTTCATAATTTTGCTAGGATAAACTAATGAAACACAGACATAGGTCTGTTATCTTATATTTATCATTCTAGTGATTTCACAAGAAGTTTTTAAAGTACTTGTATTTTAGTTGCTCTTCTAGGGAATGTTCCTAGATGAATGGATTATGAATCTGAAGATAAAAAAGTGGTTTACAGTTCTCATACACTGATTCAGTTTAATTTCGAGTTGTCTAAAGTTTTGTTTTTTTCTCCATTTTTCACTAATCTGAGCTCACAGCGCTGGTCAGTACTTATCTCATGTTATTTATTTATAATTCGGTAAATAG